CTCTGCGCGGGTATCTTCCTCGGATCAGGAGCCGGGATCTTCTGCGCCTGATTCTACGTCGCCATCCGCCACAGGATCTCCTACGCCAGTTTCTGAACTGGGATTTTCTGTGCCTGCGCTCGCGTCATCAACACTTCCACGCTGGCACACCAGATCCCAGTCAGGTATTATCAAGGCAAAGGAATACACTGATGGCACGGTCAGGTATGACAAAGTTAAGCGTGCTTTTCTCAGTCATATTGGAGAACCAACTTGTTTGCATGATGCTCTTACACATAAAGATTGGAAAGAAGCTACGGATCATGAATATGATGCACTCATGAAAAATGAAACATGGCATTCAGTACCACCAAGGCAGGGTCATAATGTCATAGATTGTAAATGGGTATATAAGATAAAGAGAAAATCTGATGGAAGCATAGACAAGTACAAAGCTAGACTAGTTGCCAAAGGTTTCAAACAGAGGTTTGGCATTGATTATGAAGATACTTTTAGTCCTGTTATTAAGTCAGCTACCATTCGACTTGTACTGTCTATTGCTGTTTCCAGAGGTTGGAGTCTACGTCAGCTAGATGTTCAGAACACGTTTCTTCATGGTGTTCTTGAGGAAGAAGTGTTCATGCGGCAACCGCCAGGATATGAGGATCAAAGTGCACCACACTATGTCTGTAAGTTGGATAAGGCTTTATATGGTTTGAAACAGGCCCCAAGAGCTTGGTGTTCCAGGTTAAACATGCAATTACAACAACTTGGATTTACACCATCTAAAGCAGATACTTCATTGTTCTTTTATCGTAAAGATAAGATCACTATTTTTGTGCTTGTTTATGTTGATGATATAATTGTTGCCAGTTCAAGTGCACTTGCTACCATTTGTTTGCTTAAGGATCTAAAGTTGGAATTTGCTCTCAAAGACTTAGGTGATCTTCATTATTTTCTTGGCATGGAAGTTAAACAGATAAAGGATGGTATACTTCTTACACAAGAGAAATACACCACTGATATACTCAAGAGAGTAGGATTGGAACATTGCAAACCTGTGAGTACACCAATTTCACCTTCGGAAAAACTTACAATTAACAGTGGAGAAGCACTTGGATCAGATGATGCAACAAAATACAGAAGTGTTGTTTGTGCTTTACAGTATTTGACTCTTACACGTCCTGATATTTCTTACTCTGTCAATAAAGTTTGTCAATATCTGCATGCATCTAGAACAACACACTGGACTGCAGTAAAAAGGATTTTAAGGTATCTCAAATACTCAACAGGTCTTGGACTTCAGATTGTCAAGTCTATGTCTTTGCTTGTTACTGCCTATTCTGATGCAGACTGGGCAGGGTGTGCTGATGACAGAAGGTCCACAGGTGGTTTTGCTGTGTTTCTGGGAACAAATCTTGTATCATGGAGTGTAAGAAAACAGGCCACTGTTTCTAGGTCCAGTACAGAAGCTGAGTATAAAGCTTTGGCTAATGCTACAGCTGAGGTGATGTGGATACAGACTCTGTTATATGAACTTGGGATCAAGGCTCCACAAGCTGCGAGGTTATGGTGTGATAATATTGGTGCAGCCTATCTCTCAGCTAATCTTGTTTTCCATGCACGAACTAAACATATTGAAGTTGATTTTCACTTTGTCAGAGAAAGAGTAGCTCGCAAGCTACTTGATATTCGCTTTATACCAACTGGTGATCAACTTGCTGATGGCTTCACAAAACCTCTTACTACAGTAAGATTGAATGACTTCAAGAACAATCTTAACCTTGGTAAAGTTCACTCGGTTCAGATTGAGGGGGAATGTAGAATATGTTGTATAGAGATAGGAGAGTAGTTGAGCAGTTTAAACCTTTGTAATCTTATCTCCTCTTATCTCTACTTCTGTTAAACCTCCAGTACCGAACCATGATCGATCTCCTCTTCTCTTGATCGATCTCTTCCTTGTAAGCCACGGCATGCTCTCTATATAATACAATGCGGCCCAGACGAAGGGTTCTACGCTTCTCAATTCTTCTCACGGCAGCTTCATCCACTAATCCATGCCACAGGCGAGGAAGACATGCTGCCCACACGCCTCCATCCTCAAACCCGCACGAGCTAGGAGGGAGCCGCGATAATCCGTCAGTACGCCACCACGCCACCTCACCGGAGGTGCTTGCCTCTCTATTGGACAACACAGATCCTTCGTTGTCTCCTGCCGCAGCCATCCTCCATCTCCCGCGTCTCTGCAGTGTGCAAGCGCTGGTGATGACTCGTTACCGACTCGAGCTTCCTCCGTGGCTTCCGCACCAAGCACCAGAAGGAGGGGCCGCCCCTCCTGCGAGCCTTAATGTGCACGTGTGGTGATCAATACATCACGTTCGCCCTGATCCTAGAATTTCCGGACTGTATCCCTCCCGAGCGCTTCGACCGTGGATACTATAGCCGCCGTGGACATTATGTCAGCCGTCCAGCTAACATTGTGCTCGATTCCCGTTACAACCATGTCTTCCTTGAAGACTTCCTGCGGGAAGAGGTCGTTGCATGTGACCCCATCACCGGCGTAGTGCAGCTTGCCCATTCCGCCCGGGCTTCATAGGGGCTACCTCAATGGGGGCGGTGCTCTGCACTGCTGCCCCTTCCCATGACCACGTGCATGGTAGCTGACACTCAAGCCCCTTCAAGGTGGTCTTAATGAATATGCCCATAGGCACAACCGTATTTCGACCAATCATATGTTTTTACTCCTCCGAGACAGGAATATGGGGCAATCAGGTCTCAACATTGCTCCATGCCGTGGACCCTTATTGGTAATTGCCTTTATTTGGAGACAGGAATATGGAGAACATACTTGAGTTTGATTTGGATAGGCAGATCCTAACTGTGAACAGCGCTGACACCAGATCATCAAGGTAGAGGATAATGATATTGGTATCGTTGTATTATATATTACAACTAGCTTTCAAATGTGGTGGTTGAAGGTCAGTTCTCAGGGTGTTACCACATGGTTATTGTCATTTGTGTAGACAAGACCCAGGGGCCATGGCCCGGGTCGTAGGCTCGTAGCACTGGATTTCTTTGTCGATTATAGCATTTTTTATACTGTTGACACTGTGGAACATGTTCCGCTTGGGGCCTAGCCTGGTCTTGACTACACCACTGGTTGTTGTGGAAGACTGTTGACATCTATAACATTCTTGAAATCTCTCCTTGGTTTAAAAGATTTACGGGTCGGATGCTAGGGTATGATGAGGATACTGACGTAATATTTATATATGTTTTTGTCACTTGCCGATCACCCATCCCCCTGGTGACTAGTACATTCTTGGTGCACATAAAAAATTGAATTTCTTATCTCTTGGACTATGTTTATTTAAAACTGAATACACAAGATTGGTTTTCTTGTTATGGTTTATTGGTTTTGGCATGTTTAAATTTTCTCCTTCTCATGGCTAGTGATGAATAATTTGCATGGTAAAATACTAGCATATTTACATGTTTTTCATTCTTATCAGCTAAATTCTTCATTTTGGGATATACTAGTAGCTTAGCATACTACTTTCCTGAATAGCCAGTGCATTTTACAACAGATGGGGGTTTCGTTTATCTATTGCTAGTATCAAGACCAGCCATAAAACATCTACAAGAATCTGTTTAGAGAAATGAATTACTTTGCATAAGAAGGTATTGCAATCATATGCACAAAGACTAAACTTTGGTCATGTGTAAATAATTGGTAAGGTTATTTTGGCAACCACACAAAAATAGAACATTTCAGCATTAATATGACTAGGACTGAAACTATAGACCTGGTCACTATATCCCTACTAATGTTGACGGCTATTTACTTATTCTGTACCGTTCAGGCTCAGATTTCCCATTCAGAGTTGGAATTCGTCCATGATAACTGAGAAATGCCTTTCCACAGCTATCACATAATGCAATATGACTCTGACATCTAACCTACAGATAGAGATAGGAATGAGCTTCCATCTTTTCTCTCTCATTTCCAAATGCAATGTTGCCTTCATCGCCGACGACTAGGTCAATCTTTACCAAAGCTCAGGACCGCATAAAGAACTAAAGACTAGTAAGGAAAATTTAGGCAAAAGGCTTGAGATGAGCCCGTGTTTAAATGACTCCTTTGTTCCAGCTATCATTTCTGTGACTTAAAACCATAGACGCACTCGACATTTCATATTAATAGAATGACCGAGATCCTCTAACTTATGGATGCAATGTAAGGGAGATTGTGTTGCTTTCAGATTCAATGACATTTCTTTCAGCATTTATACAAGTAGCACCAGTACCATGGACCAGATCTTCCACCTTCCTACTGATGATCGTGTGCATTTACCAAGTCTTTGGTATGTTTACTGCTGCTGATGTGAAAGGATTGGACCGCAATCTCACACGGCGTGATGTTGCATTCAGAGGTGGAATTCTTCTATGATAATTGAGGCACTGCAGCAGCTGTCACATACTACTGCAGCACGGCTCTGGGGTGTCACCTTCGTCATCATCGCTGGTGACTACTTAATAAAAGTTGAAAGGAAGGATTAGCAAATTAAGTCGTTCGGTTTTACTACACAAAGTTACCCATTGCTTAAAGGTGAACTGCAGCAAATGCATAAACCTGCACCTGAAGATTCTAGTATAGGCATGTCCGGCAGTTCAGGCTCTCTATCTTCCAAACCTGCACCTGAAGATTCTACCAGGTTTAAAAAAATGTGTTTCGGCAAAAAAAATAATCTAGTAATATACACGTTTGTAAGAAACTTAGCTTTAGGAATTTGTAGGCGGCATGCCCCATCTTTTATTCTTTTTCATGAAATCCATGGCAAGAGTTCTTATGAGGGAAACTGGAGTCCCCAGCACAAAGGTTTGAGCAAAATATCATATGTAAGAGACAAAGCAGTGGTAGTGCTGCTACTCTGCTAGCTATTACATGCTTCTGGCTCGAAGTACAACTATACAACCATTACTTCATTTTTTCACGAGAGTGCATCATCTCGTGCATTACGTCACACATCAATATTTTCACTCATGTCCTCCGAGATTTCAGTTAGCTCGGACGACAAATGGTAAGTATCCTCGGTATGAACATGCCCTTCGTCACAGAAGAACGGCCTTGAGGGCATCTGCAAGGTACCGACGCCTCCTTCCAGCATCTCTATAACCTCGCTCATCGTCGGCCTGTCATGAGATTTCATCTGGATGCACCATAGTCCGATGATGCACAACTTCCTCTCCAATTCATGCATCTCAGTATCAACATGAGCAGAAATCTCACCCACATGGTCTTGTTGAGTTAGCCGGTCATATACCCATGACGGATAGTACGCTTGGCTCGAATTTGCTGTGTTCGGATTGGCGTTCCTTCTTCCTCCAGCCATCTCCAGAAGCATCATCCCAAAGCTGTAAACATCAGACTTGCTCGATATGATGCCAAAGCTCCGTGATATCATCTCAGGAGCTATATGTACCCAATAGTTCCACGTAGGGCTCTTGATGGCACAAAACTCTTGTCCTTGGGTATAGTTTGGCGAGGCCAAAATCAGCAACTTTGGGGACAAAATTGTTGTCGAGAAGGATGTTGTGTGGCTTGATGTCGAAGTGCAGAATCTGCATGATACAACCCTGATGAAGGTAGTCGATCCCCCTGGCAATGCCCAAAGCTATCTCGGCGAGCTTGTCCCAGGAGAAACTCTTCTTAGCTGAGAAGATGTACTTGTCCAGAGAACCTTGAGGCATGTACTCGTAAACCAGTGCTCTCCTCATTTCCTCTGAGCAGAATCCCATGAGACACACCACATTTACGTGATGGATCCTACCGATGGTGGAGACTTCATTGATGAAATCTTCTCCATTACAGTTAGGATTGCCCTCTAGCATCTTGACAGCAACATGAACATTGCCCGGCAATAGCACACCCTTGAACACAGACCCGTAGCCTCCCTGACCCAGCTTATGTCTGAAATGGCTTGTTATTGCTGTGATGTCAGTGTAGGCATACGTCATTGGACCTAGCATTTGTTGTATTCGGAGGAACTTCTCGACAGCATCGATTGTGATCCTCGTTTTCCAATACTTGTGGGCGAGGAAGATCAATACAACCAGTGGTGCCAACACAAATCTGCATAGCACTGTATAAACAAGTTTATATAGGTTTGGTGGGTGGGTACACACATGCATAGATGTGATGATGAAGAAACTTCAATTAAGAGCAGAACATTCCGAATTACCAGCAATCCACTTGACAGACCAGAAGATGAATGGTATGACTGATGAGGCATAATCACCAAATCCAGTTGCACGGAGTGAGCAGTACCAGAAATATCCATCGACCATAAGAATTTGCTGAACACAACTGCTGGCGTCTTCACTACACACTTGTGACAAGTCGCTGCAATACCGTCCAACGAGACATAAAAGGAATGAAAGAGGGGCTCAACAGTTTTGGGATAAGATATATCAAAACCACTTATACAGGCAACAAATAGTACCACTATATACAGATATATCAAAAATTCCGAACTCACCGAAACTGGAGTATTAGGCACTCTTTGATGCTTCTGCTCTTCCTGAAAGGGAATTTAATGGCAAATCCAATCCTCATGGATTTCACAACATCTACATAACTTGCATTTTCGAGCGGCTCGTAGTCCCAACAAAATGGATTGTGACAAGGCCAAGGAGTCATGGCCAGGTACCCACAAGAAGGCTCGAGATACTCCATAGAACAATATCCATAACCAGTTAACACGTAAACATAAGTATCATTGCTGCTAAGGCAAGCAACAGGCATGTACATACCATTGTCCTTTACTTCCCGAGAACATTTAAGAAAGCAAGACTGCCTACGTGAAAGGGGGTCCAATTCGACTTCCATGTCATCATCGACTACCCGGAAGGAAGAGGGAGGCCGATTCCAGCTGCTGTATAAATCCATGTCGGCATCGACTACCTAGAAGTAAGAACCACTGTCGTTGATGGCAGAGACATAGTATGTCAGGTTGTCGATGTGAATTGTAGCCTTTGTATTACCGCAAACCAGCTCATAAGATTGATAGCCGCACCCAGGTGGATCACTTGCCTGACGAAATGGAGATGATATGTTTCTGAAAGGGCCGCATGAGAAAGAAGGACAATCAGGCTGATGATGGCGCCCTTCTGACTGGTCTGGTGCAAGAACTGCAAGCACAAACAAGAAAGTTAAGGCCTTAAGAGCAGAAAGGATAACTTTCAGGTCGTTTCGTACCCTACCATAATCTCTTCGTTTGTTCTCCGCTATTAGTGACTTTGGAGTGACTCTTTGTTGCATGTTGAGGGATAGTTATGTGATCCAATTATGTTATTATTGTTGAGAGAACTTGCACTAGTGAAAGTATGAATCCTAGGCCTTGTTTCAACGCATTGCAATACCGTTTGTGCTTACTTTTACCATTACTTACCTTGCTGTTTTTATATTTTTCAGATTACAAAAACCTTTATCAACCATCCATATACCACTTGTATCACTATCTCTTCGCCGAACTAGTGCACCTATACAATTTACCATTGTATTGGGTGTGTTGGGGACACAAGAGACTCTTTGTTATTTGGTTGCAGGGTTGCTTGAGAGAGACCATCTTCATCCTACGCCTCCTATGGATTGATAAACCTTAGGTGATCCACTTGAGGGAAATTTTCTACTATCCTACAAACATCTGCACTTGGAGGCCCAACAACATCTACAAGAAGAAGGTTGTGTAGTAGACATCAGTAGTTTATTTCAGACCTTCGGGTCCATAGCTAGTAGCTAGATGGCTTCTTCTCTCTCTTTGGATCTCAATACAAAGTTTTCCTCGATTCTCTTGGAGATCTATTCGATGTAACTCTTCTTTTTGCGGTGTGTTTGTCGAGATCCGATGAATTGTGGGTTATGATCCATATTATCTATGGACAATATTTGAATCTTCTCTGAATTGTTTTATGTATGATTGGTTTATCTTTGCAAGTCTCTTTGAATTATCAGTTTGGTTTGGCCTACTAGATTGATCTTTCTTGCAATGGGAGAAGTGCTTAGCTTTGGGTTCAATCTTGCGGTGCTCGATCCCAGTGATAGAAAGGGAAACGACACGTATTGTATTGTTGCCATCGAGGATAAAATGATGGGGTTTATATCATATTGCATGAGTTTATCCCTCTACATCATGTCATCTTGCTTAAGGCGTTACTCTGTTCTTATGAACTTAATACTCTAGATGCATTCTGGATAGCGGTCAATGTGTGGAGTAATAGTAGTAGATGCAGACAGGAGTCGGTCTACTTGTCACGGACGTGATGCCTATATACATGATCATACCTAGATATTCTCATAATTATTCGCTTTTCTATCAACTGCTCGACAGTAATTTGTTCACCCACCGTAATACTTATGCTATCTTGAGAGAAGCCACTAGTGAAACCTATGGCCCCCGGGTCTATTCTCCATCATATAAGTTTCCAATCTAGCTATTTTATTTTGCAATCTTTACTTTCAATATATATCATAAAAATACCAAAAATACTTATCTTATTATTATCATCTCTATCAGTTCTCACTCTTGCAAGTGGCCGTGAAGGGATTGACAACCCCTTTATCACATTGGTTGCGAGGTTCTTATTTGTGTGTGTAGGTACGAGGTGACTCGCGCGTGGTCTCCTACTGGATTGATACCTTGGTTCTCAAAAACTGAGGGAAATACTTACGCTGCTTTACTGCACCACCCTTTCCTCTTCAAGGGAAAACCAACGCAGTGCTCAAGAGGTAGCAAGAAGGATTTCTGGCGCCGTTGCTGGGGAGATCTACACCAAGTCAAGAAGGATTTCTAGCGCCGTTTTATTCGCTCTCTCTTTCCGTTCCCCTTCTCTTTTTCAATTTGCCTCTTTTGCCCGTTTCTTGTTTGCTTGTGTGTTGGATTGCTTGGTTGTCACGATGGCTCAAGATAATACTAAATTATGTGACTTTGCCAATACCAACAATAATGATTTTCTTAGCACTCCGATTTCTCCTCTTACCGATGCTGAATCTTGTGAAATTAATACTGCTTTGCTGAATCTTGTCATGAAAGATCCATTTTCTGGTCTTCCTAGTGAAGATGTCGCTACCCATCTAAACAACTTTGTTGATTTGTGTGATATGCAAAAGAAGAAAGATGTGGACAACGATATTGTAAAACTTAATCTATTTCCGTTTTCGCTTAGAGATCGTGCTAAAGCTTGGTTTTTGTCTTTGCCTAAAAATAGTATTGATTCATGGAATAAGTGCAAAGATGCTTTTATCTCTAAGTATTTTCCGACTGCTAAGATCATCTCTCTTAGAAACGATATTATGAATTTTAAGCAACTTGATCATGAACATGTTGCAGAAGCTTGGGAGAGGATGAAATTAATGATACGTAATTGCCCTACACATGGTTTGAATTTATGGATGATTATACAAAATTTTTATGCCGGATTGAATTTTACTTCTAGAAATCTTTTAGATTCGGCCGCGGGAGGCACTTTTATGGAAATCACCTTAGGAGAAGCTACCAAACACCTAGATAATATTATGGTCAATTATTCTCAATGGCATAATGAAAGATCTACTAGTAAAAACGTTCATGCAATTGAAGAGATTAATGTTTTGAGTGGAAAGATGGATGAACTTATGAAATTGTTTGCTAATAAGAGTGCTCCTACTGATACTAATGATATGCCTTTGTCTACTTTGATTAAGAATAATAATGAATCTATGGATGTGAATTTTGTTGGTAGGAACAATTTTGGTAACAACACATATAGAGGTAATTTTAATCTAGGCCGTTTCCTAGTAATTCCTCTAATAATTATGGAAATTCCTACAACAATTCTTATGGTAACTATAATAAGATGCCCTCTGATTTTGAATCTAGTATTAAAGAATTTATTAATTCGCTAAAGAGTTTCAATGCTTTGATTGAAGAAAAATTGCTTAAGATTGATGAGTTGGCTAGGAACATGGATAGAATTTCTCTTGATGTTGATTCTTTGAAACTTAGATCTATTCAACCTAAGCATGATATCAATGAGTCTCTCAAAGCCATGAGAATTTTCATTGATGAGTGCAAAGAAAGAACCGCTAGGATGCGTGCTAAGAAAGATTGCTTTGTGAAAGCGTGTTCTTCTAGTTTTCATGATAATAAGGATGAAGATCTAAAAGTAATTGATGTGTCCCCTATTAAATCTTTGTTTTTCAATATGAATCTTTATAATGATGGGACTGGAGATGAGTCAACTTTAGTTAGAAGGCGTCCCAAAAATTCGGAGTTTTTAGATCTTGATGCAAAAATTGTTAAAAGTGGGATTGAAGAGGTTAAAACTTTAGATAGCAACGAAGCCACTATCTTGGATCTCAAGGAATTTAATTATGATAATTGCTCTTTGATAGATTGTATTTCCTTGTTGCAATCTGTGCTAAATT